TCCTGAAATACATTCAGGATTATGAATTAAACTATGCTTTTTAGCTGTTGCTTTTTAACTATGTTGAAAAGGTGATGTCAGCCTTAAAATTTTAAGCAGTCACAGGTTACTGCCTCCAGACTTGCATGAAAATGTTAGTTTCTCTGTCATATGTATGAGGGTTTTGGAAGGTGAGAGGTTTTTGTGCTTATACACCTTTGTGTATTTAAATACACATGTATGCCAGCTTTTCAAGTGATAACATTTATACATGCAAATTTACTTTAGTCAGACCTGTATCTTCAAGAGAAGTTCCAACTGCTTTGAAAACTGAGGCCTGTGCTCATACCAGAGATCTTAATGTACCCCTTCTGGTTTTATATATATTGATGAAAATTAAAAGTTTTGAAAACTCCAAAGAAAAGCAGACAGTAGAGCAAAATAAAGGAAAGAAATATGATCTTTCTGGTCTGTTAAAAGTTGAATTACGTTTCAGCAGGATAAGGGAAATTGGGAAGGTGGAACTGAGATAAAACTTTAATTCCTGAATTAAAGTTACTTGCTGAATAGATCACTTACTGAATAGACACTGTTACCAGATGCTGGGCTAAATCTTCCTTTTGCAGGGAATCTGAACACTTTCAGATTGCATTGTAAGGGGAAGATATTCAGAACTGAAGCCAATGAACGTAACTACAGTTCAGTGTCACAATTCTTGCAAATATGTTGGCTCAAGTTACTGTGGAGCGTGTGTTTGTACACACACGTGTGTCTGAGCACAGATGAAACACTCCCTCTTTGAAAGATGATTATTATCAATGAGTGATAATGTAATCACTTTCTTATCTTTGCAGGTGCGTCTGCGAGACAGGAAGGACTCTCCTCAGTTGCTCATGGATGCTAAACACATCTTTCCTGTTACTTTTCCGTTTAATCCATCCTCTCTGGCATTAGAAACCATTCAGATCCCAGCCAGCTTGGGCCTGGGCTTCATATCACGTGTCTGATCCCAAGGATGTACCGTCAGTGTTAAGTGGAGAACCGGTTGCCTGATACCTTTACTTGTTAAAACATAGTGAGCCACTAAAAACACATTTTCCGAACAAACAGCCTGTATAAGCCCAGATCTGTAGTTAAGGTAGCTGGAAAACTGCACAACAGCATCACAGACTGAAGGCTAAGAGAAGGATGTGCATTTGTGCTCGGTCATTGCATTTATGAGGACTTCACTGATTCATACATTTCCAGAGTATGGAAATCGGGCTTGGACAAAAATTGTGTCTTCAGCTGTCTAGAGACATTTTTAGATCTTTAGTAACATATTTAAATAGTGTAAATTAAACTCCATATGTAATCTTCTCATAGGCGGGAACCAACAGGGACAGTCACAGTCCTGAACATGGAAGACTTGAAAGTAAGGCATTTTGTAGTAGAATACACAGTCACTTGGGAGCCTGTTACATTTAATTTGTAAAAACTGGAATGGAAAAACACAAACTGGCAATATATAAAATTATTTCTTAAACCACTTCCTCATTTATGTCAGTTTGACATAAATTGTAGTGATAAGTCTTACAGCTCACTATATGCTATAACTTAGGTGTTCATTTGTTAGTACTGTGGTTTACCAAACATACTAAATCGCTGCTGCATATTCTTTTGTTCTTTCAAATGTACGACAGCATCATACTAAGCACTAAAAATAAGATACTTCATTTTTTACAGTCTGTAGCAGTCTGTTATTTTAAGTGGATTTTTGCACATGGTATCGAATAACACCTGTAGAGGAAAATGGTAACTAAGCACAAGTAGCACACTGGAAATTATATGTTTCATTATTTTTAAACTAGTTATTTTTGAAAGTAGGTAGCTAAAAATACAGAATCTTGAAGCAAATGATCAGAAGTCAGTAATGATTTTAGTATTTATTTAGATTATATAGTCTGTCAAATGTTGTCCTTTGTTCGTAGACCCCAGAGTTGACTGAGTGTATTTTGAGTATAATCTCTTTTCGTTTGTTGCCACTTAAATAAAAAGTCTTCTTTCACGCTGGAATTTGAGAGGAAAAACTTTAATGGGAAATTTCTGCAGTAGCCCAAGGCTCTCATTCTTTGAAAGGTTGACTAACAAGAACGTTAAGTAGTTTTTGACTATGATGCTGTCATTTGACTATGATTCATGCTGATTTAATGGTTGGAAATCCAGGGTTCATAATGAGAGACTGAGTTATTTTGGATATTGCACATCTTACTGGAAAGATTTTTCTGTCTCACACATCTTGGATCTGCTATACAGAATTCACATTTCACAATGTGCAGCAGAAGCCTTGCTTAAGGATCCAGTTCTGTGGTGTATGGCTCAAATATACATGTAAAAAAAAAAAGCCACACACATTGCTTAATTGCATTGTGCAATATTTCTAATGTATTATAATAATTATCATCTTAGCATTGACATTAATTTCTTCTAGAATATTGATAAATAATCTAGAGGTACACTGTTAGACTGTTTGGTACTAATCTGTTTGCCTGCAAATTCACAGAAAAAAAGATTTGCTGTTAAGCAGACTGAAACATTTCGGTTTTGTTTTACTTGAGAGGCAGACATGCTGTTTGTATGGTTGCTAAAATCAGAAGTAAAGACAACCTAAAGTTTGTCAGTATCATTTTAAGATGCTCATGTAATCTTATTTTCAAATATGTACAGCCCATATTACATTTGATGGATCATGCCAGTACTTCCAAGAAGCTATGACTGCATTGCAAAAATGTTTTGAATGATCTTTGCTAAATGATTGAGATTGTTTTCCTCTGCATGGTATACCAAACACTCTTTTTAAAAATATTACTTGATTTCTGAAACTACGGCTACTGTTACGTGGCTCCACATAAGGTGTAAGGTAGTTTTCAGACTGTTAGGGGTACTGTACTTGGGAGAATGTAATAGGAAAGCCTTCTCACCCAGTAACAGGGTTAGGAAAGAAAATACAAGAGAACATGCTGACCTACAAATTTTTTTTCTCCTATTGAAAAACAAACAATTGGCATAACAGTATGTTCATACTGTAGATCAGGAAATGTATCCACTACTTAAGCGTTTTAAGTGTTTAAAATGTATGCCTAAATGTATTTTTGTTTATTTTTTAAGTTTGTTTACCTGTAAAAAGCCTTATTGTATTGTTTCCTTAAAAAAAGTAGTGGTTAGTAATTTATAGGTATTATCCTTAAACTCAGTGGTTTGACTGGTATTACTTTTATATCACATTAAAAGTATATGCTGCTTGACATGTTTTAAAGGAAAATATTTTTGAGTTGGAATAGATGTGTAGTTGGTAATTCATCTAACATTTTACATGGCAGTATTTTACATGCACTTTTCAAAAGTAAAATTTTAGTGTCAGTGTATAATATATCTTTCACCTTAGGACTAAAATCTCTTTAACCATGGAATAGAATGCAGAATTATTTTAACAACTTTTTTTTTCCTTTGAATCATTGTTATGCTCTTTTAATGTGGACATATCTTTTATATTTTAATTTATTATCTATTGAGATGATAGATTTTATCAGATGCTGGAAAAATACTTGTCAGTGACCCCTTAGAATTATATACAGTTATTCTAGAGATTTTGCACAATAATTACCTCATTCAGTTTGGTGTATTTTTATTCCAGTGATAATTTTATTCCGATGTTTAGGATACAGTCTTCTCTCCAAATTTTGAAAAATTACTTCTCACACTTCAATCTGAGATGGATCATGAAAGTGCTTAAGTCTGTTAAATGTGATTAATCTGTTCTATCACAGAAAAAAAATAAGATCAACTTCTTTGTTGAAGGTGGATTGCTATCCGGTAACATTTGTTCCCAACTTGGAAACACCAGCATTTGCAATTTGAAAGTCTATGCGTGATTTAAACTGAACACATTTCAAATACCATACTAAAACTATGAGTAAACACTTGGATTTTTTAAGATGCTGATACTTCATGTGATAAATAAAAGCCTTTAAACATAGGTTTTCACTCGATGCCACTACAGTACATAGATGAAAAACAAAACATTGTCAGAATGACCTGAGCTCTGATCTGTGGTAGTGTCTGATGTTGTACTTAGTAAATGTATGCATCATAAAAACTGTAGCCTAATAGCTATCACTGGAAAATGTCCAAATAAAAGTACAACTGTACTATTTGCTTTGGAATTTTTTTGGTTGGTTGGTTGGTAGTTCCTGAGCTGTGTGCTGATATAGTCCTCAGACAGTCACATGGTTCCCTCTACCTCCATGGCAGGCTCGGTGTTGACTGCCAGGGGAGTTGGTTAAAATCTGAGGATGTGTAAATACACACCCAGATAGCAGCAGCGTGCCATAAACTGCTGTGCGTATTGCAAAATACTTTGTTCGACGTAGCTCATTTCTGTTATGATATTTTGTCACCTAATATTACCTGCTACTGAAATAAGATTTGTCCTTCACTTAGACATTACATTCTGTGCCATGAAAGCTCCTTTGGTGCCAGGCAAGGAGGGCTGGTGGGCCACCTGCCAAAACTTGGCTCTGTGGTTATTCAAATCTTCTTCCTCATAAAGGCAATTTCGATGTAATACCGGTTAGTGCCTTCAGCTTACTAAATGCATTCAGATTTGTTTATTTTATTCCAAGATTGCTAAAGAAACGCCTTGTAGGAAGATGATAAATGTTTCTGTTGGTTTTCTCTGCTGGGTCCGGACCGCTCCCCTCGGGACCCTTCTGGCCGTCGGAAGGGACATTATTCCCGCTCCCTAAAGGTGTATTCCGGGTGCCAGCTGTGCCAGTGCGGTACCTGGGAGTGCCGCTCAGCTCCACTGTAGGTGCAGAGCAGTGAGAACCGGGCGGTGGCCGCGGGACGAGCCCCGCGGGGTGAGCGGGCACTGAGGGCACTGCGGCGGGCGGGGCCGGCCGGGAGCGGGGCCGGGCCGCTCCCCACGCCCCGGGGCGGGGGCCGGGGCCGGACCGCGGCCACCTGCGGAACCTGCAGTCCCGATGGCGCTGGCCGAGCTCTACACGCAGGTGAGCGGGGCACGGGGGGCAGCGGGGCGGGTCGGCCGTGCCGAGCCCCGGCGGGAGCGGATCGCGCTCTGTCGGGACCGCCTGTGGCTGTCCGCGCTGGCTGACTGGGATCATCCCACAGGTCCCAGGGCACCGGGGAGAAATACTCCTTTTTGCGGAAAACACACCTTTTTCTGAGACTCTTGGCCTTCAGGAGTAGGTCTCTGCTGTGCTAGCCAGCGGTTAGGCAACTTTAAGGTTTAACAAAGCCCTTCCCCTGGGCACTCAGTTTCGGAGCGCTGCGCTTTCTGCTGGGCAAATATTGAATGTGTGTGGCAGAACTTGGCCTTGAAACAAAGATTCTTCCTCCTTGGTGCACCTGCTGAAGTTTTTGCACAACTTTCCCCACTTTTCCTGTAAGTCGCTGGATTGTCGTGGCGTATAATTTGTTTGCTTAGCTTTAAATAGCAAAACCAACATGGATATGTTAGTGATTTATAAGCCCATGTCTCCTCTGTTGCAACAGCAGCTGCCGTAACGAGCTCCCATTGAGCCCGGTGCTGCAGAGCTCTTCGTTCTTAGTGTTGGTGCCGCAATCGGAGCCGCTGGAAGAACAAACGGCAGTTTTCACTGGAATATTGTCAGGGAGCTGAAGGGAGGAAGGAGCGCGGGTGTAACCCGACACGGGAATGAGCAAACTCCCTTCTGTTTACCTGTGAGGCAGGGTTTGGAGACAGCCAGCTCTGTAGGCTGGGTGCATTTGCCAATGGAGGCTCCTGCAACTCCAGGGGCCTTTTCTGAAGAATCAGTGCTTTTGTCACGTTGTTTTCCCTCTCTTTCTCGTCCGTGCAGTTCACCTTCTTACATGGGAACGCACTATGTGCCCCTGAGGCTGTTTGGTGGTGATATTCCGACTTGCATAAAAACAAATAAATAAAACAACAACCACCCAGAGGGTGGTTGGGTGCTGGAACAGTCTCCCCAGAGAAGTGGTCACAACACCAAGCCTGACAGAGTTCCAGATGTTTGGGTGGTACTCTCACGTGGTGTGACTGTTGGGTGGGGTCCTACAGGGCTAAGAGTTGGACTCAGTGATCCTTGTGGGTCATTTGCAACTCAGCATATTCTCTGATTCTGTGAAAGAACTCAATTTAACAAGCATTTTTGTACACCAGGAAGTCAACATACCATAGGAATGACACAAAAGAAAATTTATACTTAGGTACACATGGAAAACTGAAAACTAGTTTAGCCATGTTTTTCATTTGGCCATTAAATAGATATTTGTGAAGCTGGGCTTTTATCTCTTTTGGTGGGATAGACGAAAACATTGACATCATAGGGGCTTGGGGTTGTTCAGAAAATGTCCTTGTGATTTTGGATGTTGCATGAAAAAATGCAATCCTGCTGAAAGCATCAGCAAAGAGGTATCATGGAAGAGGCTGAGGTTTCGGTTGATCATCACCTGATGTGCAAACCAGTTTGGCGTATGGCTGACTAGAAAGATCAGTTTCTGTCCTCGGGGATCCTGAAAACTCACCTGGAGAAGTCACTGAGCAAGACAAGCTAAGTTGCAGAATGTCCCTGCAAAAGTCCCTCTTACCCTGAATTGTTTGGTGTTGATCCTTGGGAATAAGAATTAAGAAGGCTGTTGTACAGTGCAGTTTGTAGGGACCTGTGTGGGCACCCACCATCATTCAGTAAGGGTTCTTGGGGCAGAGACCCTCATGTTCTGAGGATCTACTGGAGCTTCCAAGGCTTATCCCAAATTAAGAGAGGAAAAAAGTCACTTGTGCTAAAACTAACAGTTGTGGCACCAAAATGAGAAGGTATATGAGTCCCCAAGGTATCTGTGGGTCTGCTAACACTCCATGAAATCCTTGACTAATGTTAATTTTTCAAGTAAGCAGCTGCAGCAGTTCTCATGGGTTTATTTAAACAGTTTAAACTGACCGTGAATATAGCGAGGGTAAGGGAATTAAATGAAGGGTTCTGTCTATCAAAACATAAAGATGCTGAAAGATTATACATTATGGTTGCTTGTGTAAGTAGGGATGGATGAGATTGCTTTGTCAAACCCTGTCAGGATGAGAAGGACACACTCCACATCACTGAAGTAATTCCTTACTTACTGAGGTTTACAGCTGTGTTATGTCCTTTTAAGAAGTGCTGCTTCTGATGGCTTCTCAGGCAGAACATTTGAAGAATTTGCTTATGCTTCAGCATTTTACCTTAGCAAAGGAGAACTAGATGGTTTGAACAGCATATTTACATTCAAATATCATGATAATAGCTAAGCTAACTATAATCTTGTTTTTCTGTTCTAGTACAATAGGGTTTGGATCCCTGATAATGAAGAAGTTTGGCAGTCTGCAGAAATCACAAAAAACTACAAAGCTGGAGACCGTTCTCTCCATGTGCAATTAGAAGATGGAACTGTAAGGAGAAAAGCCTGAATTATTGTGGGGTTTGCTGAAATATATTTATGTGGAAATATAGGACTCATCATTATGAGATCTAAATAACATGTCCATATTTTCTTTTTTTATCATATTGAAATTTGTACAGTAAACAGCTGCTACTCAAAAATATGAGGAGTGCAATTCTACTATCTGTATAACATAAGTATATAGCACATACCTCAAAGATCACTTTTGAAACAAGCCCTGAAACTCATCTTAAGTTGGAGGAAAGCAGTTATCCTCACAGAGCTAGCTGGTACTTCTTTCTTCCCTAAAGTTGTTGCTTTATGTAAGATCTGTTAATTTTAGTATCCAAGTTCTTTACAGATTTAATATTTTGAAAACAGCATTTCTGTATTCCTGTTCCATAAAGACAAGTATTAAATGAATGATTAAATGGATTTGTTGAAAGAAACAGAAGTGAGTGTTAATCTTTGTGTAAAGAAAACTGAATGGTTGCAAGTAAGGGTGGTTATAGAGCTGCCTTGAGTTCTGACCAGGTGTTTGCTTTCATTCAGTTGCAGCTGGTCTGCTGCTTTTATCTGTACTTGAAATATGCATGTGTTTAGAGAGCTAAACGTGTTTACCATTTTTACAGATTTCAATACAAAATAACGTAAATAAAGAGAATGTAACTTTCTTTTTCATAAGCAACAAAGAGCTCCAAGTCCCCCAGTTTCAGTGGGATGTATGGAATTGATGAAATAGATCAGACAGTGCTCCATCAACTCTGTAACTTTGTGTAAAGGTCAAAGATGAGTTCCTGTTTATGCAAACATAATGCATTTTATGATGTTTCAAGTAGTTTTTGTTGACAGGAACTGAATTACCCTGTTGATCCAGCTGCTTTGCCACCCCTACGAAATCCTGACATACTTGTTGGTGAAAATGATCTCACTGCACTCAGTTATCTCCATGAACCAGCTGTTCTACACAATCTCAAAGTTCGTTTTGTGGAGTCCAAACTTATCTACACATATAGTGGTAAGCAAAGTAAAATGCAGTATTTAAAAAAAAATTTTAAAAAATATCTTGGGTTAGTTTTCAATATGATGTGAGTAATATTTTCCTCAAGTATGTTTTAACTCATGTTAACTGGTTTTATGTATGAGCATAGACTTGTTTGTTGATCAGTATCTCCTACCTAGTTTATAAAATATTGCTGCTTTGTATCAGTTTAAGTGCTGTTGCCAAAAATGAGCATTTCATTTAATTAACCTGTGTTTTATTTTTGTTTTGCACCCTTGGTTGTAGGAATAATTTTGGTTGCAATAAACCCCTATAAAGAGTTGCCAATATATGGAGATGCTATTATCCATGCATATAGTGGGCAAAACATGGGGGACATGGATCCACATATATTTGCTGTGGCAGAAGAAGCATACAAGCAAATGGCAAGGTTGAGTATGTTGTTTAATGTACATAAATAACACTTGAAGTCTAGTGGCAGTGTTCATTGTCATTTAACTGTGTATGTGCCACTGGCTATTAAGAATACCTTTGAATAGGTGGCTTAACTAAAGGAGGACGAATTCCTTAACCAGCTGAGGAATTTCTAGAGTTCATAACTATTTTCATTCTTGATGGGGGGTAAAACACTGACTTAGCTCAGTGAATAGCAATGACACCAACCTAGAGATTACAACTGGTGTAAGAGAATAGATGAAAGATGGAAATGTATATGAGAGTTGACCATAGCTGTGATTTCAAACATCTGTTTCAAATTTATAATTCCTGCATTTATACATGATTTTAGACATGTCTGATTTGAACTGTCTGATTTAAACTGTCTGATTATTTGGTTCTAGAAATAACAAAAATCAGTCCATTATAGTCAGCGGGGAATCAGGAGCTGGAAAGACTGTGTCTGCAAGATACACTATGAGGTACTTTGCCACTGTGAGCAAGTCAAGCAGCAATGCACACGTGGAGGATAAAGTATTGGCATCCAATCCAATAACTGAGGTAACTTTCAGAGGGTGTCTGTCAAGCCTGTACTCATCAAGGAAAGAATTCCATGAGCTGCTGGGAATCTTTGTTTGAAGTCTTTCGAGATGTTTTATCTGCTTGAGTTAGATATCTAATTTAGAAGTTTAGCCTCTGAATATTACTGATGGACAGAGGTAGTCACCTTCAGGAAGGTCCTGTCTGAGTTACCAGTGGCCCTTTGGAGGCACTAGTTTGCCTCCAGAGTGTTGTCTGGCCACCTATTAGATCATGAGAAAACAGTATTGAATAAGTTGTTTGTTTGTTTTTATTAGTTGGAATAGAAACCAGCTAAGGTTCCTTATAACGGAAAAACATACTTTCTCATGTAACATTATACTGTTTGACTTGAGGTTTGTCTTCAGTTTTGGGCCTCAAAATTTAAGTAACACAACTCAATGCTGAGATTGATCCCTGAGCACCTTTGATTTTAGAAAGTTGCAGTTGAGTCAAGTTTTGTCAAAGTTATTCTTATGAGAGACCCAAGTAAATCAAATCATTAAAGTTTATAATTTTTTGTAGGCTGTTGGCAATGCAAAAACCACACGGAATGATAATAGCAGTAGATTTGGAAAATACACTGAAATCAGTTTTGATCAGAGTTACCAAATCATTGGAGCTAACATGAGAACATACCTGCTTGAGAAATCCAGAGTTGTCTTTCAGGTGGGTAAAATAAAGTTTAAAATAGTCATTGTCAGTATAGCTACAAAAGCACTATACTTTACTATACTTTCCTGATTTCATATAGAAAATATTATGTGAAGTTCTGAATAGTGTGTCTAATGAGCATTTGATTTATTTTTTAACAGGAGATTATATTATTTATAAAAAGAAACCATTTTACTTCGTGTTTTTCCTTCTGTTAAGTGAAGGATGCATCTCAGGGACAATTCCCTGAGATAAGTGCAAGAAGTATTTGAGAAATCTGTAACATGCTGTCACAACAGTAACACATGCCAGTTGTATCTGGAAAGGAGCAGCATAGGTAGGGTAGAGAGAGTCTTGGTAAAAAAATGGCTGAAAATTTATAAGACCAGGGTTTATTGCATGTGACTCACTACAGGGTCAGGGCATAATTGTGATGATATCCTAAAGAAAGCATTTAATTTTATAAAACTGTTTTCACAAAGGTTTCTTTATTAATAGTATTGCAACTTTTTAAGTACACTGAAAAATATTTCTATATATTTTCTGCCTGAAGGATGATTTGAAAATGGAGGGGTTTCAGAGTTACCACAGGGCAGTGTTTCAGCTGACACTCCTACACAGTTGTTCCTTACAGTATTTGCCAGTTCATATTAGTAGATGGTTGTTGGAGCTGAAGAAATTATTATAGTAACATCCTTGGGGAAAGAACTCAGCATATTGGTAATGGAAATAAAGTATACTTGAATGTATCACTTTCAAAGATCATGCTGAAATCTAAGATGTGCCGTTTTAATATAGAGCAATTTCTTTGCCAGACTATGTTGCAGCAGAATTTAGCCCTCAGGCATCATTATCACTTTACAATAGTCTTGAATATCAAATGTTTTTCTGTTTGCTTCTTTGTTCTGTTGTTAATTATTTTTTTCTGTAGTGTTATTCTTTGCTTTATTTTACAGTCAGAGAATGAGAGAAACTACCATATATTTTATCAGTTGTGTGCATCTGCTATGCAGCCTGAATATAAACATCTTAAATTGGGTAGGTCTCAAGAAAATAATCTACTCATCATTTTTGCAGTGCAGTATTTTTAAGGCTGGGATTTCAAATGAGAGGATGTTAAGTGCTTTATAGCATAAATCTCACAGCCTTAAAATGGGACCTGCATTTTTAAGTCACTTAGCTATTAATCCTGTTTGTTTTGAACTTGGTAGCAAATCCTTAGTAACTCAAGTAGTGCACAATCAAGTACCTAAGTGCCTTTGAAAACCTTATACTTTCTGTAGTGACAGGTGCCTTGACAGTTTAGGGGCTTGATTCACTTGTCTACAGAGAAACTGGGAGAAGCAGACCTTAGGTATGTGTTTACTCAGTCTCCATTGTTTATTAGATGAAATATTAAGATTTCTAGGAATTATAAATACTAGTTTCTGTCAGCTTAACTGAGTTACGCTCATGGATTTCTCTCAGAGAAAAGGGGACCTCCAGCTCATCACTGAAACGCTGTCATCTGCCATCCTCTTTAATTTTTTGGTGTAAAGAGTTTTAACAAATGGCTATCCCCAGTCCCTAATTTTTGCAGGATTACAAGCTTTGCTTCTTATCTATAGGAAGCGCAGAAGAATTTAACTACACACGGATGGGTGGCAGCACTGTAATAGAAGGAGTTGATGACAGAGCAAATATGGTGGAAACTCAGAAGACATTTGCCTTACTGGGTAAATTGTTGGGGATGTATTTTCAATAGATTTTTCTTTTTTTATGCAATGGGCAAAAGTGGTTTGTTTCTGAACTATCCAAAATGTTAGTAGTAATTACCAAAATAATTTCTTTCATAGCTTATTTATTGTGCTGTTAGTCTGTTTTAAAAGTACTAGGCAGGAGCAATTAGCAATTGGTGTTAATTGTTAATGGTCAGAATCACTGACGGCTGGAGTCTTCCTGGCCCTTAAGCTAACATGCTGTGACAGAAGTGGAATTGGAAGCTTCTTTGCCCCTGTATGGCTTATGTGAAAGCCAAATTAGACTTGAGCTGGCACTTGGGGAGGTACAGGAATTTATGCCTAATCTTTCATCGGATCAGACAGGCAGAAAATTGGCAGAACCAAGGATTTGCATAGTACTCCTCAGAGATGCTGTACAATTCTTGGCTACACAACAAAGCAAGTAGTCCATCGTTGTTCTATTTTAATTAATTGTACTGTTTCTGGGTATTTAAAATAATTGAGAATTGTTTTTTTAGGTCTGAATGGGGATTTTCAGATGGATGTTTTTAAAATGCTGGCAGCAATCCTACACTTGGGCAACGTGGAAATAGCAGCTGCTGGAGATGAAAGGTCATCCATCAGTGTAAGGAAGTAGCTCATTCATATACCAACATTTTCTATTATATTCTGTGCCAGAAGTCCTTTAGCAATAGTTTCTCTCATATCTGGGGCTCTGAGCAGCGTTAAATCTGGTGTACTAAACTTGATTGATTTCTCCATCTTCATCTGTACAGAGGCACAGCGAGAGTCAACACAGATGCTGTTTTGTGCCCAACTTCAGAAAGTCTTAACAAAAGGCAAAATGTGGCTAAGAGTACCCCATATCCAATTGATCCACAGCTGTTGGAAAAGCCATTTGGGACTCTCTGCAGGATACAGGAAACAGAGCTTTGTCAAAGCTTCTCAGAATGTGTCCCAGCAAGCTGTGCAAATCCAAAAAGCAAGAACACCTAAACACAGACTAAAGTAACTTTCTTTCAGTGTCTTAATCCGAAGCATCTCACCCAGTCCAAGTTTTTCTCTCCTGTATCAGGAGTTCTATCTAGTATTATTTGCTTCAGCTCATCTTGGTATTTTGCCAGACAAAGTAGTAAACACAGCCCCTTGTCTATCTAAAAATAAAAATCATAGTTTGATGTCAGCAGTGCAAGGATTTCACTGTCTAGATAACAGTTAATGTAATAAATGTAATCTAATAATATTTACTAATCTTTTTTAAAGATGGAAGATAAACATCTCAGTATATTCTGTGAACTTCTGGATTTAAACTGTGACAAAATGTCCCGATGGTTGTGCCACCGAAAGATTATCACAACCTCAGAGACTGTAATAAAGCCAATGACAAGAGCTCAGGCTGTTAATGCAAGGGATGCTCTGGCAAAGAAGATCTACTCTCATTTATTTGACTTTATTGTGGAAAGAATTAACCAAGCTTTGCAGTTCTCTGGCAAGCAACATACTTTTATTGGTGTTTTGGACATTTATGGGTAAGACAGTCTCTGGAAACAAATTAACTTCTAAGTTGTGCCTTTTCTTTAGAGTTCATAAGAGGCATTTTTCAGTTTGTGCTGGTAATGGATTTGGAGGGGGTTGTTTTACTAAAAGGTCATGGTCATATGAGTTCTTTTGCATCCAGAGTAGTGGAAATGTTCAGCTACTATAAATATTAGTATCTTCTGTGAATGAGGTTTAAATTTAACTTCTGATATGATACTTTTAAATTTAACTCTGGATTTTTTTAGCTCTGTTATGTGTGGTAACATTAACTTCTAAAGAAGTCTTGAAATGCCTTAACATCTTCATTGGTTTTATGGCTTAGTTAATTTTCTTGGAAACATCAGGATAGCCTTGAAATCTTTTAAGGATACTACCATTTGATTTTGATGTCGAGGGATGTTTTCTTTTCTTATTTGAATTGTGTTTCAGATTTGAAACATTTGATGTGAACAGTTTTGAACAATTTTGTATCAATTATGCTAATGAAAAGCTACAGCAGCAATTTAACCTGGTATGTTCTTTTATTTGTTACAGTTCTTTAGCTTACTTTACTTCAGTTTTTAGATTATCAATAATGGATATTAGCAAATGCTATTTGTGCTTGAGTAATGGATATTTCTGGATAATGACTATCCAGTAATAAACTTTTTTTTACATGTATGCATAAATACACATATACATATGAAAATTTCTGGGTTTATTTTCTTACAAGACAGACATGTAATATAATCCAAAATATTTTTTCTGTCTTATGTATACAACCGTGCACATGCACACACTGTATTTATTTTCTTCCTTAATTGTCATAACCTTACATTTGCATAATTTTCACATATCCAGCATGTCTTTAAACTTGAACAAGAAGAATATATGAAGGAAGATATCCCATGGACTTTAATAGACTTCTATGACAACCAGCCTGTCATTGACCTTATTGAAGCTAAAATGGGAATTTTAGAACTTCTGGATGAAGAGTGCTTGGTAATTTAAAAATTCTTACATTTAGAGCTCATAGAAAAAAAAAACCTACATAGATTTTTACAAGTTGGGCTTATAATCCATATTTTGTCCTTTTATATGGGAAGTAGAGCATTTTCCTCATAAAAGGAACATTAAGATTTGCCCTCTATTTGGTAATTTTAATTGTAAACCTCTTAGTCTATTTTGCTCTTGTAGAACTAAGAACCTGAAACTAGATCCTTAGCTAGAAGACAATCCAGTAATTAGAGTTCTTCACTGTGAGGATAGTGCAGTACTAGAACAGGTTAAGCAGAGGTGCAGTGGGATCTTCATCCTTTGACATTTTCTGAATTTTAGTTCAAACAGCAGTTATCCAAGCAGGAATTTGGACTATTCAATCTCCAGGGGTCTATTCCACCAGTATTTTGAAAATGAAGGTATTCTACAAATCACTAATTTTGATACAAAAAAACCCCCAACAGTCTCACTTTTTAATAAGTACTTGTTGAATGCACCAAACCTACATCTTTACTTTTCTTTCTTCAGTGTTACTATTTTTTTTCTCTGTGTCCTCTCCTGACTGTAGAAATTCCTAATCTATTTTTTTTCTATGTTATATGTAGTTCCTTTAGGCTTCCAAACCTACTGAAGTAGCTTTGCCAGGGAGGAACAGGCAGGGAAGGTTAAACCCTGTTAAAATGGTCTCTAAAAGGTGTTTGGGTGATATTGGCAATCTGTACCTCTTGGAATCCGTGGAGTAATATGGGTAACATGTTCTGCTCACTAGCATTCTCAGGGGTCACATTGTCCCCATTTGCAGGTAGCATCCTCTCAGGACAAAATTATTTATGACTCACCAGAGAATTTACTCTAGTCAGCAAATTTGTGGATTAATACAACGCTCTTTCATAAAATGATTTGCTACAGAGAACCACTGATTAGTTTGAAGATGCAAAAACTGGTTGTTGTCAGGCCTCATAATTCACTGAAGATGTTTTATTTGGAGTATTTATTGACAGTAAGTGTTTTTGCTGCCCTTAACAGTTCAACAAGTTTGCTAAAGAGATCACCCTTCTCACTTTTACAGTTACCTCATGGAAAAGATGAAAACTGGCTTCAAAAGCTGTATAATAATTTTGTCATTAAAAATGCACTCTTTGAAAAGCCAAGGATGTCAAACACGTCTTTCATCATTCAACACTTTGCTGATAAGGTAGAGTGTAAACAACCCGTTTCACCGTGTTTCTAGAAATAGCTCATTCAGAAAAGAAACAGAATTAGAAAATAGGAAATATTAACCACACTTGTTTGGAACTTCTATAAAATTGATCTTCAATACATAGCGCTATTTATTTATTGGTGATAGTGTCTGTAATGTGCTATTTAAACATAAGAAGTGCTTAAGATAATGAATTTGAGAGTATAAAAATAAATCATCAAGATAAAAAAGCAGAAAAAGAGTAGAGTGTATAAATAGAATAGTTACAATTGTAGTCTATACACATTTTAATCTCAGTTATTTACATTTCAAATGTAGTATTCCTTTTTTTGATATTTTGATTTGAAACCATAGTATAATGAAGAAAGGAGGAAAGAAATTAATGTTAATGATTTTGCCTGTTTGCACAGGTAGAATATAAATGTGAAGGATTTCTGGAAAAAAACAGAGATACAGTACATGAAGTATTGATTGAAATCTTGAAAGAGAGCAAGGTTTGTGAACAATCAGTAATGACTAATTTTTTGAATATCTGATTTTACTGGAATTAATTCAGATCTGGTTTTAAAATATTTGTTTTGATATAAAACTAGTCTTAATTTTTTTTTAATATTATCCAAGGATATATTTTTAACATAAAAATAATATAGAAGATGAAAAACCACAGTGTTCAACTTCTTCGTATATGTGCATTTACTTTGCCAGTTATGTTGGAGGTTTTTTTAATATCTCCCTTGAAGGCCATTTTGTAATCCTTGTAACCGAAAAACTTTTTTTTCCTGTAGTCATTATGTGCAGCTTTGATAGGTAGTTTATCATTAACAACTGCCTTTGTTTATTCTTCAAAAGAGATTAAGAGAATGCCAAGGCAAGGAAAACATCAGATGTCTTGTATGTGCCTGCCACTTCCCGTCTGCTGGAAGGTCCTGTCCCTTTGAAGTCTACAGCCTTGAGTTAACTTAAGAAGTTAGCTTCATCTGACCAAAAAAACATAATTTTGAATTACATGTTGTGAAAATATAACCTTAAGTGGTCTTATTTTTAACTCTGCTCTGTGTTTATGTCCGTGTTTGCTCATACTGAAATAGCTTTTGCAGGCTACCTTAACAGCTGCTGAATTTTGTCTGTGAAACGTGTAAGTGCTTTGCAACAGGCTCAGAATCATTCCAGCTCTTTCTTCAGTTGTTGTTTGTTTGTGGCTTAAATACCCAGTTCCAAGTCCTGCAATACCTGGCCTAAGCATTGAGGGGTTTGCACTTTATGCTGTAGTAAATGTTGTTTTTATTTAAATGTTGCTACAGTTACACAGTATTTAACTCTGATTCTTTCACCACACTTTTAGTTTCATCTGTGTGCAAATTTTTTTCAAGACAATCCAGTGTCCGTTTCACCTTTCAGTTCAACTATAAACATCAAATCTGCAAGACCTGTTCTCAAGTCACCCAACAAACAGCTCCGGACAACCGTTGGCAGTAAGGTACTACAGAAACGTGCCAGTCTATGATGCTTGTGCTTTCAAGGAAGTGTACTGGGCAGTCTGAGAGTGTGATACTGGATCCTGTTATTGTTCATGGGGGACTGTCCAGTTTTCAGGACAGCCAGAACCACCCACAGTGCAGTGCTCCAGGACTGGGTATGAGTAGGTGTGTTTAACTTAAATATAGGAGACTCCTAGGTACATCAAATTAAATTTCCTGCATTTAAGATGTAAACACTAAGAATATATATCCCAGTGTCCAGCCAAAACCTAATAATTAATTAAAAGACTAAGATTTGACTTTTTGCTTAGCTGGAAATGTTTCATCAGCAAAACTGTTATGTCTGATATTTTCTAGTTCCGGAATTCTTTGTCTTTGCTTATGGTGACACTCAATGCAACCACCCCTCATTATGTACGGTGCATAAAGCCAAATGATGAGAAGTTGCCTTTTGAGTAAGTACATTAGTGGTGTTGAACTGTTCCATTACCTTTAAAATTAAGAGTATTTTTCCATTTCACTGTAGCAACATGTCTGCAAGTTAAATTCTTATTGTTGAGCAACTTCCCATATGGAACATATTTCTCCTTTCAAGATAACTAAAGTAGAAAAAAATTGTCATTTTACAAAAATAGAATAATTCAGTAGTAGTTATTGATACCTTAAAAATTCTTTATTATCCTAATATTTTTTAAGTTGTATATTAGTGTTTGTGTATTTGTGAGAACATTTTTAGGGGTAAGGTTGCCCACCTTTGGTTTAAGTTGATGGATATTTTGAATGGTATGGACTAGCACCAGTTTATATTCAAGGAGTAAAACCCATTGCCATTTTCTTTGTGAACATACCTTTTGTCCACAGAAGTACTTAAAAAAGCTTTAGAAATCAGAAAAAGTGTGAACAGTGTTGAAATAGAAATCCCGTTAGTAGAATGGTTCTAATTATTACAGCATGCCAAACCCAGCAGAAATGTAAAATATAACTCTGCTTTTTTAGGTTTGATTCAAAAAGAGTTACTCAGCAGCTACGAGCCTGTGGTGTTTTGGAAACTATTCGAATTAGTGCACAGAGCTATCCATCCAGGTAGGGGTGGCAGTGAGCCTCCTTGGGTCAAAAAATATTTAGTTGTCTGTTAAATGAAATTAATTAGTTAACTTTTCATTTTCCAGGTGGACTTACATTGAGTTTTTCAGCCGTTACAGCATTCTTATGACACAGCAGGAGCTCTCCATCAATGACAAGAAGCAGATTTGCAAGATTGTTTTGCAGCGGCTAATCCAGGTTAGTTTGTATGCACCAACCCACAGGTGTACTGCAGCTTCTATTAGTAATAAAAGGTCTCTTTTGCCAAGAGTAGTATTTCTCCTCAAATAGGGAAGATATTTACGTTATTACTGTTTTTCCTGATTTAGTGTGCTGTACACAGGCTTGTGAGTCAGTAACCTTGTGTTGTGGCACAGTCATGGTGTGGCCATAGACAGAGAATTTAAGCACTCTGTGCTTAACATTATCACTTGCAAAATGGAAGATATTCTACCTATATTTATAAACCAGTGAACAGTAAATGGTATAGATTTGTCAAGTATTACAAGCGCAAGAGGGCTTTTGATGGTGGAATGCAGCATGTTGGAGAACTGTTCTAAAAATGTTCTATTTTGCACATCTCTCCTATTCGTTAGATGAGCTGGTAGTGGTGAGGCTGGTCTCAGTCAAGCCAGCAACTCAAGTCAGCGTGTCAGGAGTGAGTTCAGACTCAGGGATATGTAAAACCAAACACAGGCACACTTGCTGCATAGCTCTGGCACAGGCCAAGGGTAAGAGCCTGAACTTGAAAGCAGCTTCACCCCTGAGTTTTTGCTCACACAGGTCACTGATTCAAGGCTGGAATTGTGCATCAAAAGGTAGTGTTGAGCCCATGGAACCTTGGGAGACTTGTAGAAGGGGGTGAAGAGGTTGTTTTCAAGGCTTTGATGATAAGTCCAAAGCCTCCCTTTAATTTTAGATCACTAGTGTGCAACTTTTGATGTAATTCTCTGGGTCTTTTCCTGCTAAGTGGATTTTCTCCCCACATACTCTTATCTACAAAGAGGACAGAGAGGATATTCTTCTGTAGCAAGATCATGTCATTTCAGAAGAGCTTGCCTGAAGTGACAATTTATAAAAGGAAGAGAATGTCTGGGCTACAATAATAAACTAAAAACTCAATATACCTACTGTTTTCTTTTTCAGGATCATAACCAGTATCAGTTTGGGAGAACAAAAATTTTTTTCAGAGCAGGACAGGTTGCTTACTTAGAAAAACTGCGATCAGATAAGCTGAGACATGCATGCATCATGATCCAAAAGAGTATTCGAGGCTGGCTGCAGAGGAAGAAATACCTTCACACGAAGCAAGCAGCTGTCACCATCCAGCAGTATTTCCGGGGGCAGCGGACAGTACGGTACTCTTGGCTGATAAATGAATTTGCTGTTGGGGTGTGTCTGAAGGCAGATAGAAGATCAAACTAAAGCCCAGAGTGTCATTTTTATGAAAGAGCAATTCAGGCTGTATTTTCACTGGATTGTAATTGTGGACTTGGAAATGTTCAAGTTATTCAGCTGATACGAAGAATGTACTCTTAACAGGTTTCTAATGCTGTCTGTCAGATTCCTGAGAGGCCTCTCTACCTGTAAGCTCAGTCCTTAGCTGATGATATGTGAGCCAGTTGTCAGCAAGGGGTTACTGCTGAGCTTCAGGGCCAGAGAAGATATCAGGGAGCAGAAAGGAAAATCAGTTTATGGGGTCTACAAATTAGTATGCACAAATTATTTCAAGGAGTTATGCAACAAGGAAACTGCACCAGTCATTCACAAAACAGACTGAGAGAAAGAGGGCTCTGTGTAGGCTTGGAAATTTTCAAAAAGAGACCAGAACAACAGCTTGGGGACAGATGTCAAAGGCTGTGGATAACTCCCTCTCCTTCACTTTGCTTGAAGAAAAAGCTTTATTTTAGATAGCAAATGCCTGTTTTCAGTATCTTTTTTTTTGTTTTGTTTTCAATATCCTTTTTCAATGTCTTTTGTGTGTGTGTGTGTGTATGTATGTTTGATTTGACTGACCAAAGGAATGAGCACGAGAAATCTAATGTGACCTAAGTAAACTTTGTTGTCTTTTGAATCAAGGCAAGCTATAACTGCAAGAAATCTGAAGCAAACGTGGGCAGCTATAACGATTCAGAAATACTGTCGGGGTTACCTGGTCCGTAGACTTTGCCAGCTCATCCATGTGGCTACTGTAACAATACAAGCTTATACAAGAGGATTTCTAGCAAGAAAAAAATATCAGAAGGTACAGCCCATCAAAAATTTAATTTCAGTGACTAGAAACAGCTGTTACTCTATAAGAAAAATGGAGACAAGGACAGTGATCCCCAATACTTTACCTTTTGCATATCTCATATCTTCTACTCTGTTTTTATATTGTTACTATAAAAACACTGAATCACAGTAGATACCAAGAACATTGTCTGGTTTATACTTAATGCAGATCATTTTGTGTGATTATTGCAGTGGCTCAAATGTGTCTGCAGTCTGGTAATTTCAGTATTTTGATACGTCCGTGAGAAGCATCGTGCTTACTGGTGCATGTAGACTCACAGACTGTTGTAATTGCTGCTGACAGAGCCATAGATAATTACAGACAGATGTTAATATTTTGTTTTAAAGATGCGTGAAGAACAGAAGGCTGTGGTCCTTCAGAAATACGCCCGTGCGTGGCTTGCCAGGCGCAGGTTCCAGAATATTCGGCGCTTTGTGTTGAATATCCAGCTCTCATACAGAGTGCAGCAACTGCAGAAGAAGATAGAGGAACAGGTGAGGGAAACCAGTTTATGATTTGTACTTTATCATATCTGTTCTAGTAAAAGTGCTTATGTTGACTAGAGGCTTATGTGAATTTAAACATCTGTATGTTACTTGAGAAGACGGGAGAATATGCAAGGGGTATGGTCCCTTATAATAAACTACTAGACTTCGTACATCCAGGCTAGAAAGAATCCCCTAGGATTTCCTTATATTTGTGGGTTAGTTATGCAAATGAGAAGAATCTGCAATGAACTTTTTTTTTTTAATTGTTTCTTAAGTAGTCCGTCCGGTCTCTGGATGGGGTTACTTGTTAGTATGAAGGATGTGTGAGATACTGCTCTGGTACAACATATTTAGTAATTTTTGGGAATTCCACATTATGTTTATTTTGCATTTTATTTTTGAGAGCCATACCAGCCAAATCATCTTTAAAATGGTAGTTTTAATCTAATTGAGGGAAACAGTCCCTGGTTGAAATAATCATGACTGGTATGGGATGGTGAGCAGAAGTAGGTCAGGTGCTCCCTTCAAAATTCTATGGAACAGTTTCAGGTGTGCATTTTTTTGTTTCCTTTTAACCTGTCCTGCTCATTGTAGAGTAGAGAAAATCATGGTTTGCTGGAACGATTGACCAATTTGGCTTCAGCTCATATGAGTGACACGGACACAATTCAGAAACTCGAAGCAGATCTCGAAAAGTTAACTGCTCAAAAGAGAACATACGAAGAGAAAGGGAAAAAGTATAAAGAGGACAGTGAACAGGTAAATTATAATTGCCATCTGGGTGCTTTTATTTTTAAATCCTTTTTTTTCAGTTACTGGATTTATCAGATGCATGATTTGAGAGTTGCTAGGTAACTATACTTTTTTGTGTTTGTGTGGGAGGCAGCAGAGAAGGAAGGAAGTCCATAGATGCTTGTTAAAATGTAACGTCTTCTGTGACCTATTTTTTCCTCCTTTGTAATTTGTATATTATGCTTGCTTTTTGTGTGTACAGAAAATCTTAAAACTTGAGAATCGGAATAAAGAATTGCAAGAACAGAAAGAGACCTTAGAAATAAAGCTCCAAGAAAAAACTGAGGAAATGAAAGGTACAATAACTAAAGGGAGTTTCAAAGGCATTGTAGTGGGGTAAATTTGTAAAGTCAAGTTTTCAGCAAAAGTAAATTACTTTTGTATTAATAAGAGCAATATAAATGCTGAATTTACATTAATTGAAATTCATGTTTAGAATGTGTAGTGCAAATGCTTTTTATTTAATAATTAAATTAAATTTGTTCTTTCAATAGCAAAAATGGTCCTCCTCTTATGCTTCCTGTCTTATGGACATGTATTCCTTCAAAGTGTAGCTTCATCCTTGGTTCCTTTAATTGATTCCTTTTAGGAATCTAGTTCCAAAGGACACAGGCAGCACATGAGATCAAGTATACTTTAGAGGAATAACAATTTAGTGTTTCAGAACCTTTTCTATTCTATAGCATTCCTTATAAAGTGTACTGTGATGATTTTTTGGCACTCGAGAGAGTAATTTCAGCCTCAAAATATGTTAAGGATTACTTACTTAAACAAAAATTTCTCATTGTGGTCATACTGTTTTAATAAATGTACATAATTGCATGAAAGTCTTTGAGACATTGAAATATCTTTTGACAGAGAAAATGGATGACCTCACAAAGCAACTCTTCAATGATGTACAAAAAGAAGAAAAACAGCGAATGTATGTAATCTGAATTTTATTGCTTTGAAACAGCATTCATTTTTTTCTCTTTCCCTACCTTTCTTTCTCCTGCTGTGAATGTGTTATGTTGACATCCCTTATGAATCTATCCAAGTTCTTGGGCATTAATGCTAGTCCTGAAGTACTTCATGCAGAGTTTAGGAAAGCACATGCTAGTTCGTAGGTCAGTCATGTGCAGGAAATCATGATGAGACTGTTCCTGCTTTTTCAGTTTCCTGTCTTTTCATGTGTCTTTCTAAGAATTGAAAGGCAACCTTGATCTGATGGTTTCTTTAGAAATATCCTCAGAATTTGGTCAGGACTGGAAGAGCAGCTGCTGGCCATGCCAGTCAGAATTCCTGTGAAGTGAATTTTAAAGGGCAGAATTGAAATATTCAGTATAAGGAAAGGCAGTGTTTGTAAAAGGACATTTGGTTAAAGATATAAAGGAAAGAACTTTTCCCCCTCCCTTTGGTGTTTCATTTGCAGTAGTAAAAATCCTGTTATTTTTCAATAAATGGTTGTTGCTTTGCAGCATACTTTTCTTAGATCAAGTACTTATTTCCCAATAACTCTTTTCCAGTGTAAGACAGAGAACCTCAGGTACCAGAAAAATGCTGTTTTCTGAAGTGCAGAGTGCAATCAATCACAGTCCTGAGGTCTGGAAGCTGTGTCATATTCCAGCCCAGTCTGATTTCAGCTGCCAATTACTTCAGACTGTACTAAAAGGACTTCTTTTGCTAGTTTTTCTGCTTTGCCCATTATCTATATTATGTTGGAAGCCAGTCCAATCCATCAGGGACTAGTGGAAAATGGAAAACTGCTTGCAGTGTTTTACTGAGCAGGACACAGGGCTTTCTGTTTCTTTGTCCTTCTTCAGTGCTGACTGTGGCCATAAATGTAGTAGAAAGTTACTCAGGCAGGCTAACTCACAGAGTTAGAGAACTAACCTTGAAGTGGAATAAACTCAGTTTTGCCTTTAATTCTGTCCCAACATCTGAATTACATGTAGTGAAGTCTATGGACATTCTTCTCCCATTATCATCCATTTTGTAGATTGATTCTGAGCATATAGGATGCATTTTCAAGTAATTATGGTTCATTTAAATTTTCTTCAATGAGACATGTCCTTCAAATTAAAACTAAAACAAAGCCCACCCTTTCACTTATGACTGTACAAAAATAAAACCACCTTTCCATTGTCTTCTGTAGGATACTTGAGAAAAACTTCCAAAATCAGAAGCAGGACTATGAAAAGGAGATTGAATTGCTCAAGGGAGAAATTAAGATTCTGAAAGAAGAAAAAACTCAGCTGCAACATCAAATTCAGCAAGAAAGTGTCATTCAGGATGGCTTGAAAATGGAAGTAGGACAGCTTACAAAACAAGCACAGGTGAAGCATGATGCATATTTCATTTTGGAGTCTTTGCTAGATAAAGCAAGTAGAGAATGTGCATGTTTTATTTATAGATTATCTTCACTATTTTTTTTATTTTCAGTGCACTTTTAGAACAAGTTATAATTAATAAACTATATTTGATACACCACTATGTAACATTGTGTTCATGTAGTACACAATACATGTTACTGCAGTGCATGTTTTCAAGAATAATTGTGCTTGAATATTTATGCATTTAAATCTGTGGATCTTTTTTCCTTCCTTTTCCTGATAATGTATTTGTTTCTCAGGGGATTTTCATAAATGTAGTTTATAAACTGAACCTGAAAATAGTACTTTTGTGTAAAGTCACATTTTTTTCTCTGAGTCAATTCCATGGCACAAACACATATTTTTTTCAGTACATCACATTTTTTTTCTGCTCTGATGCCTGAGAACCAGATACTTTAAATAGAACACATTTCAAGCCTTTTACCGTATGAACCCGTTCCTAATTATAACTATCCTTATGATTTAATTGTTACTCAGCCCTTGTTTTTCACTACTTGTCTCAGTCTATAATTTTTCTCTGATTCAGAAAATACCTGAGTTACAAAAGGAAATCGAGCTGCTACAGACGCAAAAATTGGATGTGGAAAAGCAGGCCCACTCACAGAAGCGAGAATTGAGGGGTAAGATACACACCAGATAATGCAGAGAACTTACCAACTATGACATGGAGACAGTTTAAATTGCTTTCTTCTGTGTTAGCTTTGACGAAACTCCTGTTCTCTTTCCCATCCAATACTGATTTCATTCTATTCATATATTTACTCACATGGGGGAAAAAAAGACTCAACAGGTGAGTTTTACAAAGTGATCACTGAATACTGAGATCTGGTGTACCCCTTTGAAAAACCTCTGATTTCAGACATTTCTCCTTTGTGTTTAAAAATCAATACTAATAATTTAAACTTCACTTAGAATTTAAACTTCGCTTAAAGCTTAACAAATATCTTGCAGAGACCTAAGAATGTGGAAACAGTACATTACCTGATGAAGTTTTCCTTCATCTTTAGCCTTAGGTCCAATAATGTCAAATATGCTTAAATAACTTGCTGAGTTGGGTTCCCTTTGGGAAAAGGTACTTAAGAAGCACCACTGTTGTGGACTTTGTTCACTTTGTTCATAGAGAAAACCTGTATCTGCAGCATTTAATGTAGTAACCTAGCACTAGATGACAAATCATCTATACAGCTCTAGCAGTTGTTCAGATTCAGACTGGAAAGGTGTAACTTTGCACTGAAAGTTTGGTGTGTTTAGAAAAAAAAAGCACTATTGGTGGTACACCAATCTAATGCACCTGCATGTCCCATAGTAAAACCAAGTTCCTCATTGTATTCTTGTAGTAAATCAGATACTTAACCAAGAAACGGGAAAGAACCTCATAGATTTAGGAAGAGGTTTGTTTAATTTTTGTAATTAAGCGTAATTTGAAATGTGCAGAGAAAATAATTCATATAATAAACTTTATTAGTTTATTCATGTAATAAAATTCTTTTTTTTTTTTTACAGAAAAGATGTCAGAAATTACAAAGCAGCTTCTTGAAAGTTATGATTTTGAAGATGTGAGAAGCAGGTAATTTTGTCCTGAGGTCTCTTAAAAAAAACCTTAAGAGATGCGTTTTGTTCACGTGCACACTCATGGTACTGCCTTGCATTCCAGACTCTCTGCGGAGGATTTGGAACACTTAAATGAGGATGGAGAACTGTGGTTTGCTTACGAGGGCTTGAAAAAAGCTACAAGGTTAGTTCAGTTCTTCAGTGTTTTCATAACTCCAAACTGTGATCTAGAAAATAAATTGGAAGATCAGTGAATAACTAATTTGACAGTGCAGCACTGAACTTCTGTTTAAGAAATGAACAAACACTACATTATATGATGGGCTGAGCAGCTTAAAATCAGTTTAACAATCTTTAAGTTAAAGTCAATGAGTAAGTGTGTATGTATGAGTCAAGGAAATGTGTTTCCTCTGAGATATCATGCATAACTTTCAGCTCCCTTAATGCACAGGTGAGGTAATGGAATATCTCTGTGTTAATCACAGTACTTGGTTTTCATTTCATATTAAACTTGACCCATTTCACCAAGGTCATTCTGCATCTGCCATGTTCTTTCTCCCTTTTTTTTTTTTAACAGAGTATTGGAAAGTCATTTCCAGTCTCAGAAAGAAATATATGAGAAGGAGATTGAAGGTTTGAACTTTAAAGTTGAACACCTTAGTCAAGATATTAATCATCTACAAAAATTATTCCGGGAGGAAAATGACATAAATGATGGTATTCGACTTGAAGTTAGCAGGCTGACTTCAGAAAACCTGGTAAGATCAAGGTGTAGTAATCAAAGTGTAGTAGTACAATCCAAATGTGTTTGTGGCACAGAGCACTCAAAATCTTGCAGTCATGTCCTTGAATCCTCAAGGCTCAAACAAATGGGGCCATCTAAGATTGCACATCCATAAGGCTCTTTCCCTGTCTGCTTGGGGTGGTGCGTAAGGAAGCAGCCAAATTTCTTGTCCAGCTCTACAGTTTGTTGGGGCAGCCTCACAGAGATTCTCTTCCCTTTTCTTTTGCATAAACTTCATTTGAGATTTTTCTTCAGAAGCCTCTTCGAAGTTCTGAGACTCTCCCCGCCAGAGGGCAGCTGAGCGTAGCAAAACACACCAAACAAACTGCAGGCACGGCTGAAGAGTGTGGTAATTGGTGCTGTGCAAAACTGTCTGACACAAGGAACAGATATTATTCCAGAAAATAGCATATACCGCATAATTTTTCTGAAAAATAATTGAAAAAATATTTTCAAAACAAAGTTATGAAAATTAAAAATATAATAAAAAGTTATTTACAATGTTATTTAAAAAAAAAAAAAAAAAAAAAAAAAAAAAAAAAAAAAAAAAAAAAAAAAAAAAACATTTTATGGCATATTGAGGGCTTTTTTCCACTATTAATTGAGCTGGGGAAATTAAAGCCACAGTGTAATTTCCTTTAAACTGGAACAGAACAATGGTACTACTGGGACAGTCAAACAATTTGATTAGCTCACTATTTCATTTTTAACAGTGGCCAGCAGCAGGTGCCTCCAGCAAAGTTAAACAAGTCAGGCAAGCAGGTAGCAGTGCTCCCCCAGAGTCTCTCCTCTGGTTTTGACTATTTTCAGTTGAAGCTCCTGAAGTGTTATAGGAACTACTGCAGGCATTTGAAAAGAAGGAAGATGCTGAGATACACAAATCTCCTTTTCCTCTAAAAGGTGATCCCAGATCTTAAACAGCAAGTTTCTGAACTTGAAAATCAAAAATTAGATCTTGAAAACCGTCTTCAAGAGCAGACTGAAAAGTTGAAAGGTAAAGTACCAGTATGATCCCTTGTCTTTCAGTTGTTCAATGGATTCCCTATATTTGAACTTTTAAAAGTTGAAGCAATATTCTGTGACAGCTTCATTGCTGTATTACTTTTCTTCTTAGTAAAATGTAAGACACAATGAAAAAATATGTTGTATATTTTATATCTCTTATTAAAGAATAAAATACATGCAAGCATGTGCTTTTTTTTTTTTACCTTTTTGAGGGCATTCAGTTCTATAGTTTGGATGTCTACAAATGTATTCAATAGGGCTCTGCAGAGAATATGTGGAGTGCAGTATGCCCTTTGGAAACAGTCATAAAAAGGAAAGATGATTTGGAACTTAAGGCATACTCCATGAGATGGACTTAAGAGAGTGCTGAAGATTCAGAGTCAGAGGGAAAAGTTCTTGCTGAGTTTGCTTGTTTGAAAGTTCTTCTCAATTTAGGAAAGCATACTCTGCTGAGCATTCTGAGTCTCTCTAGCTGCAGTGTCTTCCTAGGCAACTGACTTAAAATTTAGAAGTATTTTTACTGCCACCTCCAAGAAGTTAGTAGCATGAAAATTCTTCATCCCGTGTAAATTTCTTTATGTCCCATATTTCTCTGCTACATTATCTGGCAGGTCATTCCGTTTCATTAGAGGGAACAAAATTATGAGCGTAAGAAGAGATTAACTGAATACCAGTACAGAACAGTAAATGACTTTGATTTTGTTGTTTCTCTTTTGTTTTGGGTTTTGTTGCTATTTATTACTGAAAAAAAAATGAAAGAGATGTCTAATCGGCTGCATTATGAGCTAGAAGGGACTAGAACACAAAGACGGTAATTTTGATTTTATTTTTTTTAATTTAAGAAATGTAGTCACTATAAGCTGTGGTAACAGAGTCAGTTAAACACCTTAAAGTATTACATTTCATGTAAGATTTACCTTACAGTGTTGTGTACAGTTAATAAGTAATGGATGAGTATGATATAACTATGCTTTAACAAAAGATTAAGAGACAAGACTTCTTATCTACCTATTTTTAGAACTAATGAGGCTCAGAATGAAGTGGAGATAAAACAAAAAGAGACTCTGAAGGGCACAGCCCAAGAAATTGAGGGTCTGAGCAATGGTTTGGTGCAAGATGAAGTCCAGGATGAAGTACAAAGCAAGATAAAACAAGTGACAACTCGATTCCATGTGGAAAACATGGTGAGGAAATGAAATTGTCATTAAGAAATTGTACCTGAAATGAAAGATAAAAAGAATAAAATAATGATTTTGTGGTATGGATAGGATGTTTTCTCAATTAATTGAGGGAGAAAAAAATATGAAGGTGTTTCTTCCACCAAATATAAGTAAAAGCACATCATAGCACACTGTAATTGTGGCAATAACATAGAGCAGTAGAAAACAAATTTTTAATTGTGTTTACTCTGAACTCACTGACTTGGATTATTACAGGATCTTGAAGAAAAATTAGACATGAAAGATAGAATAATAAAAAAATTGGAGGATCAGATCAAAACTCTTACCAAAACTCTTGAAAAAGGTAAGATATTGTTATGTGATCTGTTTTTTTTAATAGCTTTGCATGGTCAGTGTCTGTTTGAAGAAAAATGTATTTAAAGAGGTGGAGTTTGGGGTGGGGTTAGAAATTCAAAACCTCAGGAAAATGTGCCAGGGGAACCACCAACAGAAATTACATAAAAGTCATTTCCTGGTTTGATTGGGGTTTTTTGTAATAGGCTAAATAATAGACACATATGGGACCCAGACTATATGATAAATATTAAGCCAGAGGCATAAGGTTCTGTCAACAGAAGTTAACACCTACCCTCACACAAACTGTCTCTGAGCCAACAAAGTTAGTTTTGCGTGGGATGAGTAACTCCTCCCATTATCCTTCAAGTGGCAGGTGGTTCCTGATATGAAGTTAGTTTGTATAAAGCTCTTATATACAATGTAGTTGTTTGCTATAGAAACCTCTTATGAATATTGCAGAGGTGCCTTAACATAGAGATGTACTGTTGCTGTTTATTTGCCTTATTAACACAAGTAATTCCACTGAATCCAACGAAACTATTCAGGAACAATATAAATACTTAACTCATAGTGCTTGGAAGCATAAGCTAAGAACATTAATGTGAACAGGCCTGTACTCTATTATAGAGAAAACTGCTTTTCCCCAATAGTTTGCTCTGATGTGACCATTAGCTCAGCCACTAACCTGGAAGTAACAGTACTTTTGTGTTTGACAGCTGAAGCTCATGTGCCAACTTCGTCCAAAGAGTACATTGGAATGATGGAGTACAAAAAAGAGGATGAAGAAAGGATCATTCAAAATCTGATCCTTGGTATTTTAGTAAAACTTGACATTTTCTAAGTTGTCAACAATATTCAGAACACTACAACAAAAACTACAAGGCCATATTTCACTTACATTCAAAGTTGCCTTTTTCCCCACTCCCTTACCACCAATACAACTTGGAGGCTCTGTATTGCTCTTTTTCTATTGCCAGACATTTCAAGTGCTTTATCTGTGTAAAAATCATTTGTCTGACTCCACATAATGCTGACTCTGTTATCTTTTTTATTATTTATTCACCTCTAAAGCTCTAAATCTCAAGAGCACACCAGGGACTTGAATTTATGTTCTTCCTGGTCATCTACTAAGTCTGTAAGTCACTGGGCTTACATCCATGTATGATGGTTACTCTCCTGTCTGTCCTTTCCATATCATTCTCTTCACTGAAAGGAACTGTACTTTCATGTTTGTCTTGTAGAAGAATTTTGTCCTTCATCTGTGTTACTTTACCATATCAATTTTGCTGCCAAATCAGCTTTTTGCATTACCTTACAATCAATATTAAATTCAGCAGATTTTCTATGCACATTGGTACCGTTATTAAATTAACAATATCTGCCTTTTCTTATCAGCTACTTCAGCCTTGTGAATGTGTGTATCTTTGTGAACAAAGGTGTGTCTTTAAACAATGCCTAAATTTGTGGGGCCTCCAGTAGGTAGTTAAATGCAAATTGCTTTTTGAAGTTGTTCTGCCTGGCATAGCCCATGCTAGACCTCAGAATTTGCTACAGTACTCTCCTAACTCTCTGAAAAACTTAATTAATACTATTATGTGTGCAATACTGTTACAGAAATTTTCAGAAACCAGCAATTCATCAGTAAATCAATTATGAAGTGTCTGGTCCCTGAAGACATGAACCACATAGTGCTTCTTTTTCAGAATGATAGATTGAATCATTGAATTCTTATATAATAAATATAAGATTATTATTATATTATTCTTATAAATATATAATTCTTATATAATCTCTATGCAGATTTAAAGCCACGTGGAGTTGTAGTTAATATGATACCTGGCCTGCCAGCTCACATCCTATTCATGTGTGTGAGGTATGCAGATTATCTGAATGATGCTGACATGCTGAAGTCTTTCATGAATGTAACCATTGATGGTATCAAACAAGTTGTTAAGGTAGGAATTGTGTTTGGCTGTAATATATTGTACTTTTTTATTTTTAACATAAAGCATCAGATGCATGCATAGTACCTGGGGAATGCCAACACTTCCATTGCTGCTAGTCCTGTAATGGAATGATGATCATTAGTGACACTCTTTGAAGTTTGCAGTAGTATCCCTGTAAAGTCTCCAGGTAAGGTTCAGCTGTGCTGAACACAGAATGCATTAACATAAATTATTTTTATCTGAAGAACCTCTTGACAAAGTAATTAAAAGTATTTTTCATTTTACAATGAGCAGCTAATTAGGTGAAATGCACCTATGCTTTCAGCACTGGTAAAAGTCAGATGGACAGAAATGAAGGTTAGTATGTCTGGTAGCAGGCAGATAGCAGAATTATTAGAGGTTTTTACACTGCTCTTCTACTAGTGTAATAGTTTTTTTCTGATATGTCATTTGGTACTGCAACACTAGTACCAAAATATTAAAATTTGTTGCCAGCCAGTTTACAAAAATTAAGTTGTAAAGAATTGTTAGTCTGTTGTCTCATCTGCGTAACAAATTCAGCTCTGTGAATGCTTTGTTGTGGATTTATGCCTGGAAACACCAAGCAAGCACAGACAGGAATAGACTGTGGTTTATGCAGTTGAACATGTTGTACAGAGAATGCCTATAGTTTGTTTAGAAACAAATTTATAGCACAGTTTATCCGTTAGAAAAGCTTTTTTGCACATAGTTAGAATTAATTATTTGTAGTTCAGTTTCATTGGGGTGTGCAGGTGTTGTTCACACTTCTTTGCAGGAAGCCCTCCAGTACACTACACTATCCATAGGAATGTGCAAAGAACTGTTTGTTCAGGCTAATTCATTTAGCCAGTCTGTCATATCAGAATACTTAAACAGTATTTACCAAATAAAAGAGGGATCTTTGCTATGTGTGCCTGAAAACACAAATGATTTGTTCACCTAGGATGTTACAGGTGCTGTGTGCTCCTTCTGCTGTAGATTGACTCCATTATGCCAACGCTGTAATGGTCTTAAGTTTAGTTATTAAATTAACTTCATGAGACAATACCATAATAAGATTGCTTTACTTATTTTCAGGAACATTCAGAAGACTTTGAGATGTTGTCCTTTTGGCTTTCCAATACATATTATTTCCTTAACTGTTTAAAACAGTACAGTGGGGAAGAGGTAGGATTGATTTAATAAAATAATGTCATTACTTTACTTTTAATAAACTTTAATTGGAATTAAAAATAGTGATAATAGATGATTATTCACCAGCTCACCACTGTTCCATCCAGGTATTTAGATATTCAGATTGCTGTGCAGTGGTATTATATGTCTTATACAAATAAAAAAACCAGTATAGAACTAACAGATGAAGTGAAATCAAAGAAACATCAAAGTGCTGAAGTAGGTTAAAGACATGGCCTGAGAACTGCTCCTTAATTTGAACTATTTCACATGAGTTTAATGTAGGCTGGACTTAAGATATCCAGCTATCTATCTATCTATAATATAAAAAAAAGTTTTACTATTTTATTATTGGGACCTTTCAAGCACCTACTGCTACCAAAATATGGCTATAGAAGAAAACCTTGGGAAAGAAACAAAACAATAAAATGTTCAGATTTTTCCTTATTTCAGTTGCTTTTTTAAGCTAAGTTTTATCCTGAGATTCAAAATTCTTTTAATTATTTTCAATTGAAAACTCTTACTATATTTTTTTGGCTAGGTTTTATAGATTCAGATAGACTGAATGAAATTAGAGACAATAGAATAAAGTCTTCAGGATTAAAGGAAAGAGATGCCTCAAAGCCTCGGCATCCCAGTGTGTGCTGGGTCACCAGCAACGCTCCCTCTCGTGGTCGTACCGGGAACGGCTGCAGAGCAGCGCAGAAAACATTTAAACTTAGTTACCGAAGTGTTTTATAATTTGGTTGCAGCAGTAGGCAAAGGTTTCCAAATCAAAAAATTTGATTTGGAATCCAAATTTACTGTTAATATATATTTCTAATGAATATTCAAGACTTCACACAAGTTAGGATTCCGTGTAGACTTTTTGAAGTCAGAACTTTGCTAATGAAAAGTCTGAAAATAATATCCCTTTGCTGCAATAATTTTTTTTTTGACATCATAGTTTAAATAACTATATTTTTGCCTTTTTTTTTTTTTTTTTTTTTTTTTTTTTTTGACAAGGGGGCAGGGGAAGTTTTCTTTCTGTTTAAGTGATCTAGGAATTGTTCCAAAGTTCATTGAAGTCTATGCATGTCTTTCCCTTGGCTTTAGGAACAGAGTAAATGTCAGCATAAACTGGAAAATTAAGTACTGGAAGCATCCATTGAAATTACCTGTAGCTTTGACTCATTCTGAGACTGTGTTCAGCCAGAGGTGGAATGAGTTACTCTAATACATACATTACATTGTGGGAATCATTTATAGTTATAATGTTATGTGATTCTAATAATTATGTTTACAACTCACTTGTAGGAATTTATGAAGTGTAACACTCCACGTCAGAATAAGAACTGTTTGAAGCATTTTGATCTCTCAGAATACAGACAAATTCTTAGTGATTTGGCCATTCGAATATACCACCAGTTCATTCTTGTCATGGAGAACAACATTCAGCCCATGATTGGTAAGACAGCACCAATCCAGACACACCTAATGCAGCTTGTGAACTGTATGAATAAAGCTTATACATGGAGGCAAAGGGTGGGACAGACTTCTTTCTCCTGTTGATCTATACATGTGTTCCAGCATGTGTGTTTCCACACATATAAATTCCACTGAGTGGTATATCCCCACAGGGTTTGGAAAGACTTTTTCCTCACAACACTTCCTGGCGTGGGATAATGCTTCGAATCTGAGCAACATCATACAAAAACAAAAGGCTTTTTAAAAAACGTGTGCTCCAGAAGCCTTTTTCAGTATCCCATTTTTCTTTTATCATTTAACTTTTAAAATACCCTGCAAGTAGGTTTTGTTCAATAACTAATGTAACTGAAAGCATCCTTGGGAGTTTTGTTCTTATCAGTTATTTTCTGTTGCATTTCAGTACCAGGCATGCTGGAATATGAAAGTCTTCAGGGAATTTCTGGCTTGAAACCTACAGGGTTCCGTAAACGTTCTTCTAGTATAGATGACACGGATACCTACACAATGACCTCTATCTTGCAACAGCTCAGCTATTTTTATAGCACTATGTGTCAGAATGGCTTGGACTCTGAGCTTCTAAAGCAGGCAGTGAAGCAGCTTTTCTTTCTAATTGGAGCTGTCACCCTCAATAGTCTCTTCCTCCGCAAGGACATGTGCTCATGTAGAAAAGGAATGCAGATAAGGTAAAGCCAGTAAAGTTTCAACAAGCTTGAGAATGAATTTTTAACACTTTCATGTAATATCCTTTGTCTCTAAGTGGCCGTTCTGATGGAAGTAGCCTATTGGTTTTTTTATTCCTTTTGAAAAAGTAAATCTTTGCATTTTGGGTTGAGCTTTCTCAACATAACAATTATAAATTGTTCTTTCCATGGAAACACTAATGGAGGAAAAGGCAGAGAAAATTACAATCTGAAGTTTATAGTCAGGCATGGTTAGGATTCTTTCCATGCTAGCTCATTTGTGATGTGACCAGTAGTATTTTTAATTCTTTCTTACTGTAGTAAACAGGTGCAGTGTCCCCTGGCTGGCAGAGAGACAAAAGCTGACTTGCATGTTTCATGCTCTGTGACAAGAAAAGCACTGAGACAGAGCCTTTGAGGATGTAGATTGAGCATCATCTGTCTTGTTACAAGCACCAAGAAAACATGCTCCTGTTTTGCAGAAGATACAGTTCATTTATTCTCCATTAGTCAGTCTGCAGACTAATGTGAAAGAAAATCAGTAAAATCTTCTCCCATCTGGGAAATTACTGGAAGAAAGCTGCTTTAACCTTTAGGTCATGAGTTGTAAGGCTGGCCCTGCTTTGTAACATGCAAAGACTTTTCTAATTTCCTGTACAAACTCAGTTGTAAATGAATGTTTTCATGACATACAGTGCAATAGGCAATGCAGTATATATAATAGTAGTTTTCTGTAAACAACAGCTAATAACTCACTCTCTATTAGCCAAGCTTTTGAGAAATAAAAAAATAAAAACAAAAAAACAAACTAAACCAAACAAACAATCCCCTCTAAAAAAAACCCCACACCAATTTGAAATATACAAAAGAGTAGGAGTAAACTGACAGTTCAATAAGCTTTTAGTTGTTTGGGTTTTATGAGCTATGGTTATGGTTTTTAACTTGAAATGTACTAATTTGAACACTGCATTAGAGGAGTATTTCTTCTTTAGCAGTCTTTAAAGTAACTTGCTTGCCAAGGCGAACCTGACGTTTCTGTTCTTTGCTCATGGTTTAACCCAGATGTAATATCAGCTACTTGGAAGAATGGCTTAAGGACAAGAATCTTCAAAGCAGCAATGCCAAAGAAACTTTGGAGCCACTATCTCAAGCAGCCTGGCTCCTTCAGGTTAAAAAGATCACAGATGATGATGCCAAGGAAATATGTGAGCACTGCACATCTCTCTCTACTGTGCAGGTAATGAACTATCTGTTTTCTTCTGGCAGCACTGATTGCAGAATCTTAGCCATCTAAAATATTTTGTTGCAAAAGGCTGTTGACCTTTCATTTGATAAAAATAACATTCGTCAGCATTCTGAATCATCACTAGCTCAACTGTAATTTTAACTCCTTATTTCTGATTGTTAGCATTTTTAACTGTGGTGAATACTTGCCTGCTTTGTTCTATCCCGCATTTTTATTCCACAATGTATCTTCTTTACTTTGCCACAGGGTTTTTTTTATTGTTTCCCTTAATCAATTCAGCTTTTTCTACATCTCCTTGATCCTGCTGACACCTCTGGAAATGAGTCATAACAATCATCATATATGTAAACAATTAGGTGACTAGTCAAAATTCTCTCTTTACTGTAAAATGTTTTACTGAAACCTTAATTAGTAAAATAGTCTTTTGTAATTTGAACAGATAGTTAAGATCCTCAACTCATACACTCCGATAGACGACTTTGAGAAAAGAGTGACTCCATCATTTGTTCGTAAAGTCCAGGTAAGAGCTACAACTATTATTTCTCATATTCAGCTTTCAAGATACTTCACACACACAGTTTTTGATGTTAGGTAGTTGTACCCGACCTTTACATCATATTATTACTACGTTGTTCATCTTCTAGGCATTTGGAAGTGATGCAAACAAGTCTGCTTAACATAATGTAAAAGCAAGATTTGCAATGGGAAGAAAACAATGGACTGTTTTTGCTTTGATTCTTAATACAGTATTTTCTTACCCTTTCTGTTATGATTTCAGGCTATGCTAAACAACCGTGAGGAGGTTCCACAGTTGATGCTCGATACCAAGTATCTCTTTCAAGTGACGTTTCCTTTCACCCCCTCTCCACATGCCTTGGAAATGATACAAGTCCCCAGCAGCTTCAAACTTGGCTTTCTCACAAGGGTTTAATAAAAGCAATGAATTGATGTTTCCTCAGAGACTGTGTGAAGACATGCAGACTTTCATGGTTCATTTCACCTGCTGGTGGATAGTATGGCAGCTTGCAGTGAATTAAACTGTTAGAGACTTCTTCTTCAGTCAAGACTTAAACAGTAGGAATAATTTTGGCTTGTTATTTCCTTCTCTCTGTTCTTACTCTTTTCCCTCCATTTCAGTCCTACAGTGATGACTTTATATCATCAACTGGACACAAAGCTTACCACACAGTTTTTTAGTCCAAACCTGACAAGAAAAGCATTTATCTGACCGGTTTGTATTGCTGCCCTGTCAGCACCAGTCAGAGGGGAAGACTGCCATGTGATAGATGTTACTGCTGTACAATTTTCCTTGTCTTTGCTTCCTGTAACAAGAGGGTTTTTTTCTTCCCAAGGTAATTCTATTCTTTGCCTTGATATACTGGATCTGTTTGAGAGTAGCTTTCATCTTCACTTCTTATATCCTTATTTCTTTCACTACAAAAGTAGTCTTTCACAACAGTTCTTCCAGAAGACTACATTGAAACTGGGGAACAGAGATCAATCCAAGAGAATTGCTGTTTACAAACCCACATTGTCTTTTCGTGGGCATGCTGGCTAGGCTCCCTCTGCTTGCATTGCAGCCTGGGGACTCTGCACAGATCTTTGGCCAAAGCAAGGACTCGAGTGCTCTTCTTCAAGACAGGTTTCAGTTTTGTTCTCTGCAGTGACAAGTTTGGATTTAATATGAGTTATTGTAATGGAAAAGTCAGATATAAAGTTCATGTTTTGATCCAGGTTTGAATTATAAGCTTGGTTCTCTAAAAGACAGGAGTCATCTCCTGGTTTGGTTCCATCTATAGTGCAGTGTATTTCAGAATATACACTGAGTACGCACATGTGCACATCACCTTTCTCCTTTTCTCTTTTTGCTGGTTTCCCTCCTCCAGTCCAGAGACTGAATAGGAGCAGATGCAGTTACTGTGGTCTGCTGTTACTGATAAACCAAGCCTAATTCCTTACATTTCATCTTTATTTATTTCTTTTCAATTTCAGGATCCTTAAAAGCAGTAGTCGTCTCCTTTTTGCTTTGTTCAGTCTTCTCCGTGTAATCAGGGAGTAAAAGTAATTTTATTTAGTTCTGGACTCTGTCAGAACAACTGGGGAAACAGCATTCACCTCACCACAATGATAACTATCCTTAGAAATTCCTCAGTAAATAATGCTGGTTTTCTAAACTACTTTATTAGACGTAGTTATTAAAATCAAGTACTAAAGCTTTGAAATATTTGATGGACTCTAATTGAGTTAATTTAAATATTGCAGGAAAGAACAATTGATTTTATTTTTATTATTGTTATACAGTGTTAGTACTACTTGTTTAATTTCACAGAACAATCTGTAAATATAAAGAAGGAATCATTCTTGCTATTTAGTGTTCTTGGTGTTTACTATGTACAGTGTAATACTCATCATGATATCCACAGACATATACTCAAAATATATGAAGGAAAAATTTTTTGGTTCGTTCAACCAAAGGATGAACAAAGCTGTACAAAGGATCACATATGTAGGTAGACTGGTATTTTAGTGTGTTAAATAAAGTAGCTTTTAAATCACTTTGTAGTGCTCTGTGTGAATGAACAGCTATGTTCTCAGTATGGAATCATTTGAAAGAAGTTACTTGGAACTATGTGAACATTAGTGAGTACAGTCAGTCTTGTATTGCACCATAACCATTTATTTAATGGTCCAGTTGCTTTGCTGTAACATTGTGTATCTTCCTGTCAGCATGGCATGTTCTCCTTGGCTCCTCAGGAATTTCTGGAAATATTTTAATGCAAGCAACTTTTGTTGCTGTAATTTGTGTATAGCCTTTTTTTACAGTTACTGGAGATGAATGAATGTTACCTGGGATGATGTGAGTAAAATCACAGCCCACTCTTTCAGCCACATCACACAGAAACATCAAGGCATAGATGTCCTTTATGACAAAAACTGTTGATCAAGAAAAAATTGTTCTGACAATTTGATGCTTGGTTACTTTAAGAGGATTGTGTGAAGTATGCTATTAACACTGTGTATGCAAACAGCAAAATATATTTTTAAAGAAAGTTAAAAATAATCGGGTCTATTGTATGCTCTCAGAAACTGACCTTGCTTTTGCTGACATTAATGCCTTCAGCCAGTATGTAAGTACAAAATTCTTTTTGTTCTCTGTAATTCTTCTAAATATAAGGAGCAGTTTTAGTGAAGGCAGATACATGGAAGAGGCGTTACTGAGGCTAACTGTCCTAGAATGACAGTAAAAGTGAAAGCTATTTCGTTCAAATGGGAAAATCACAAAATCACAGAATATGCCGCTTTGGAAGGGACCCACAGGGATCATCAGGTGTTGAATGGTGATCCTTACTGCAGTGACATAGTGTTGAAATGGTTTGTGGAGAGATGTGTGAGCTGCTCTTGGCATCTTTGCATGTGTTTAGACATGTGACTCCTGCAGTTTCTGGGAATAGAACTCAGCAGCATAGGTGGTCCCTTTCAGTCCTGTGCTTCCATAATACTCTAATAAAAAAGAGAATTACAAAATAATACTATAATAAAGAAATTTCTGCCCAGGTCTCTGCTGGGCTGACCTACTTTTTTTTCTCTTTTTCTCTCAGATCCTCTTGACTATCAAATGCAGATACCTAATGGCATAATTTCAGTGACTTCCATAGAGTCTTAATAGTAGATATGACCTTCAGCATTTTTTAAATTTTTCAGACATGTTTTCATGAATTTCCCCAAAATTTTTTCAAAGAGTGCAAGAAAAGCAGAAATTTTTAGTCCTATTGATTTTAAATTTATTGTCTTAGAACAGATAAATAGTAAAAGTATAACCAAGGAGGAACCAGCATGGACACTAATCAATTTGTTTGACTTTTAAATTTTGTTAAGAATATGAGATAAACATCAACAGTGCTATTCATCAGAATGTCAAATTGCTATTTGGAAAAATCAGTTGTCAATCACCTCCCCAGTATGTTTTAACTTTGCTGTTTCGAAACCACCCAAAAATTGCTGCTGTATGGAACAGGCAGGTAAGATCTAGTTTCTGTCCTTTATTCTATATTCTGAAGGAGGGCAGTTAAAGTCTTTATCATCAGTAATCATCAGCATGTAGCTGATCCGAGGTGATGCAACTGGAGAGGCTGAGCTGTAAATACACTTTAAGTAGACTTAGTAGGAAGGTTGTCTCTCTGCATTAGCAGTAGCACAGAGCTTATTTAGTCATCTTGAGACTCTCCAGGTTCTTGCTCTTTGAAAAGGTGGGTAATTTTTCTTACTTATCAACAAACTTCATTGCACAGAATTTCTCTGTAAGTAACATATTTTTTAATGATTCACCATGCTACCATTTTTAGATTTCTAGTGTAACTTTAAAAACCTAAAAAGGTTAAAATTTCAGGCTACAATGCAAGAAGTTGCAATGGTTTTAGACCTTTTGGGTTTAAATATCTTTATAAAATAATATACAAATCTGTCATTATGACAATCTCAGATATAATACTGATTTTTAATTATTCAGAAGTTTTGATGGCTTCTATTATAGCAAAATTCTGTAATGTGTCATAATCTCATCTGAAGTAAAATACTGATAGGGAGGTAGATTACCCTGTATGTTATTACTGGAAATTCTCACACTTTATCAAAGATTAATTCTGCCCAGAGTATTCATTCCAAGCCTAACAGATCCTTGTCAAAAGTCTCTAGAGCTAGTGATGATGTTTTGTTCAAATAAGATGGCTTCACACCAAGTATATAAATCCCTGATTATATCACATGAGTTGCCCTCAGTGGGAACCACTAATTCTAAGAACCTTGGACTAACAGGTTATTCAGTTGTGAATGCCCAGTTTTAAGAATCTAGCAGAAATGAGCCCAGGAGCTGTAGTCACTTAAAAGCCATGAGCAATACCTGCTCCCTGAAAGGATGGCAGCTTGTGTTCTCAGGCTCACATTTGCACAAGAACACATTAAAAACTTTAGGACATATTTGCTGCTTTTCATCAAATGGAATATAAACCTCCTGGACTGCATAGAGCTGACTGAAAGCTCCATGCAGATTTTAGATTAAAGTGCTGTAGTTCTTTTCAGGACAGATTGCTTCCTGCATGTGTTGGGATGAAGTTATGCATCCCCTGGAGACAGCAGCAAAACTTTTATTGACTTAAGTGTGGGCAGGATTTCTGGGTTTATTATCTCATTTTTCATGTAGTCCACTGAAATACATAAGAATAAACAGCAGAATGGAGGCAGATACACAGAGTAAAGTTTGCTTTATATAATGGCCAGCCAAACAAATTCTGAAATCTGCATAGCTGATTGAATTTCTTTTGTTCCATTTAAATCTGTCTTGCAATAGCTTCTTCTGATTGTTTACCAAAAATTCATTATTTATGTACATGTCTAAGTAATGTTAACAGCGTCCATTTTTAGAAGTGGTGAAAGGTCCTATTTTCCCTATGAAAAATGTGCAGAGAAAAATGACACTACATTATTATTCTTGTTTGTTTCTCTGACTCTCAAGTAGTTTTTAATACTCTGTTGATGATAGTTCTTTGATCCTAGAGGTGCCTGGCTTCAGAACAAAAGGGTTTTCATAATGACCCAGCTGTCAGTGTGCTTGAAGCATCAATTTCTGCTCAAGAAGCATATTGTTCATATTTTCTAGCTGCTGCTGCTGGAATCCTAGCTCATCTTTTCAGCTTTAAAAATACTGTATAATACTGACTATTTAATTAGGCAGGGGAAAAACAATAAGTATCAAACAGTGGAGTTTCTCATAAGTTCAGCTGTTGTTATGCATTTCTGGTTATTGACTGCTGACAGACGTTGAGTAAAAATTGAAACTACTTTCCCACATGTAGTGGATCCATGTGCACAGCACATATTATAATGGCATGTGTATATATACATATATTTTGCTTTATATTTTTCTGCGTAAAATTAGAATCTGCAGAGCATGTGACTGTTTTGTATATAGTGACAATTCATCATTCTCAAAAGATTAGTCATGGAGGGAGATTATCCAGCCTACAGATGTCTATATAAGCCTAGGCTGCATTAGCTAGCACAGCAGTAGTGAGAAGCTTTGTGCTGGACTGGAATGCACCCTTTCCTTCTTCTCCATCTCTTTCAGCTCTCACAAACTGCAAAGATGTGTGACCAGACCTTTTTAGCAATTGTGTTTGGTCCCTGTGACAAGTGCTCCAAAGAGAAGCCCCTCAGGCCTGTTTACATCAAATCAGAACAACTCAGCTACTGCTCGCTATGTGTGGAAATGGTACGTTATTGATTCTATCAGCCAGAGTGTGGAAAGACTGCAAAAAACGGGGGTTGGTCTGTTAGGTTGGATTTTTCTGGACTGCAAATAAGCATTGCTAGGCCCACAGACTGCCAAACAAACACCTCTGCAGACACCTGGTGTTTCCATGACCCTGCAACAGAGGTGGCCCTGGGGCTCAAGGATGTTTTATAATTTTTGATTGAAAAACCATAAAAAATTCAAGCTTTTTCCCTTATGGTACCACGTTCCTCAGCTGTGCAAATGTTATGTGCCTGTCTAAGCTCTTCTCTGAGATGCATGTGTGCAACTCTGCTTGGCCTAAGTTCTTAAGTGTTTCCCATTTACCTTTAACAGAACTTTAAAAAAAATGCCATATCATTACAATAAACTCATTCACTAGTGACTAGGAACATGATGTTCATCTAGTCTGTCTCAGTACAAACAAGACACAGTGAAGTGCTGTCAGAATTCTTTCATGTCCCACATTTCACACTGCAACCACATTGTCTCCTATGCTATGTGCAGTACCTGGGTGAGAGCTAGAAGTACCTACTATTAGAATAAGGTGGGAAAAAGCTAATCCTCATTGGATAGAGGAGTGGAGTGTCTTCTGTCACCATGGGCATGCACCACAGAACTTGGTAGTGGAGGAGATTAGCAAACCTGCTGGCCTGACCAGCAGGTCCTGCCACATACCTGCCTGAAAAGGAACGATATTGGAGGCTTTCTAATCTCCAGTAATTACTGGTGAGGTTATATCCCACTATCCTGGTAGGAAGCACTGTTCTAGAGAGATCACCGTGGGGGTTTTTTAGGTGAAATACAAAGCTAAGGTCATGAACCTACGTGGCTATTGAAGAGCTCCTCTGCAAAACTCCTTTTGTAAACTTAAGGATTTTGTTGTCCAACTTGGCAGCATTTTATTTCATCTTCCTAAACCATTGTGCATTATCAGTTGGAGAAGACATCCATCACTGTTTCCTCCCCAGAACTGGTCTCTACTGTGACTGAATGGGGTCCAACTGTTTGTTGCATTTGACTGTCAGATTAAATGATGTCTGCAGGAATGCTAAAAGGTTTAGCAAGCTGTGTTTACAAAACACTGTTGTACAAGCAGATGAGAGCACTGATTTGGTGGCCTAGGTGGTGCATGTGTACAATTCACTGGCTGACACAGCACATTGTCATGCCTTACATTGTTTAGGAGGAAATTTAGATGTAATGACTGGAAGACAAAAGACAGTCCCTTCCCGGTTTATTTGCTTCTCCTGACTTTGAAATTGCTGCTTTGTTCAGGTCCTTCTTGGCCAACAGCCTTCTTGGCTATTTATCCAATAAATTTTTGCATGACCTGATAAATGCATGCTGGAATTACAGGAAAGAGGCTGTTTGTTATTTACAGTCCCACCAACTTTCTCCTTATTATTTGTATTATGGACGTTAGGCTCTTACCCACTGGAACAGCTGCTGGCTAGAAGCAGACTGAGACTTCAGGAAGAATTGCCTCAGTACCTAACAGCCTGTTAGGCTTCCTATTAGCACTGCAGTAGGATCTGGTAGATCTGGCCTCAGCTTGCTTTATATTTAGCAAAAAATTTAAAACCAAATATTCAGAACACAGAGAGCTCTTTGCACTAGTGCTGAAATACACA